CTTGGGCCGTCTTGGGGTGGTCTTGGGGGCCTCTTGGGCCGTCTTGGAGTGTCGGAAACGCGAAAAGGCGAGGAAGCCAAAAACTTTCAAAAACCTATGGAAAATCATTCATTTTTGCCTCTTGGGGCTCTCTTGGGAAGGGTCGGGGCTCTCTTGGGACGTCTTGGAGGCCTCTTGGGCCTTCTTGACGCCGTGTTGGGCCTTGGGCCGATCGTTCGGTGATTCGGAGCTCTCATGGACCGTCTTGGGGGCCTCTTTTGGCCCTCTTGGCGCGCTCCGGGGGGCGTGGAAGGCCGCACCCAGGAGGGAAACCATCTCTGAGTAATAGTTCCCGGGCTTCGGTCGGGGTACTTTTCGCCGGGAGGGACCCCCAGGTGCCGCCCCGCGCGCGCGAACTAGAATTATTGTTAACCAGTTACAGGAGATCTTCGCACGCCTCTGGCCTGTTGGGCCGGCGAATTCTCCCTCCGGCAAGCGGTGGCGCGCGGTGTCTCGCGGGTGTCCTGCCGGTGTCCCGCTTGTGGCTGGGCCCCGGCCGGACCAAATGATTCCCCCTCCGGCAAGCGGTGGCGCGCGGTGTCCCGCCGGTGTCCCGCCGGTGTCCCGCCGGTGTCCCGGTGTCTCGCTGGTGCGAAAATGATAGTGAGACCGATGGCGAAATCGATTGTGAGATCGATAGTGAGATCGATAGTGAGACCGATCGTGAGATCGATCGTGAGATCGATAATGAGACCGATAGTGCGATGAATAGTGATATCGATTGTGAGATCGAGTGATATCGATAGGGAGATCGTTAGTGGGATCGATGGCGAGATCCAGAGTGAGATCGACAGTGAAATCGATCGAGTGAGATCGATCGTGAGATCGATCGAGTGAGATCGATAGTGAAATCGATCGAGTGGATCGAGGCACCCAAGAGGCCCCCAAAGAGCCCCCCAGGGGGCCTCCAAGACCCCCCCAGAGGTCCAAAAGACGCGCCCAAATGACCCCCCTAAGCCCTTGCAGAATGAACTAAATACATCATTATTTCGTTGGTTCCCTGGGCGGGGGAGAATGATACCAAGGCGCCCAAGAGCGAAGGATGACGTAAACAACTCTACACCAAGGCTCCCAAGAGCGAGCGGCAACGCAACGATCATCACTGTTGCCCATTGCTGGTCCCCCTCCCCCACCAACCTCCTTATCACCCGCAGGGTGTTCGTATAGGCATATACATATATATATATATATATAGAGAGAGAGAGAGAGATAATGAGAAAGAGAGAGAGAGAGGAACAAAACAAGAGAGAGGGTCTCCCGTGTAAGAGGCCCACGAGCGCAAAATAATATGGGGCACCCGACGTCGCCCCCTCCCCAGGATCGCCCTACCGGCGGCGTCCGCCCTGCTGCTGAAGGCGACTGGGGAGCGCCAGTTCTTCACCTGCATCGATCCCGACCAGGCTCGCGTTGAGTCCAGGTTCTGTCACCCTGCGTTCCGCCTTGCCTCGCAAAAGCTCGCTGCCTTATCGCCTTGCTGGCCTGGTCGGGAGGGCTTGTGCATGCGCAGGCCCTGGGCCCAGGATGGGCCCAGCAAGGGCCGTCGCTGCTGGTGCACGAGCTGGCGCCCTCTTCCTAGGCGTCGGCCCCCGCCGCGGCGCGGCCCTGGAGCGGCCCCGTGCCCAACCGTGCCGCGGCGCCCTCCTCAGGGGCAGCGATAGGGGGGGATGGGCCCAGGGGGGGGGGCGCATCGACCCCCATCGCCCACTGATCGCCGATAGGGGCCCGAGAGCCCACCCCACCCAGGACCGTGCGGAGTCGCCATCGAGGGCCCATTGCCGATCTATCGGCGGTGCATCTCCGACTCAAGGTCGACGTATCCCCCCCCCCCCTGGACGGGTCCCCCTGTCTACGGGGCCCACACATGTACACCACCACCACCTCCCTGACCCCCCGAGAGAAGAGGCGAGGCAGAGGAGGGGCAGAAAGGGGGAGGGAGGAATGGAGGTGGTGGTGGTGGTGTACATTCCTGGAGCCCGCACATAGCTATCGTTGCCCCTCACTTCCCGCGCCGCCGCCGCTTGCCCCAGCGCCGCCCCGTGCCGCGGCGCTCGGGCGTTGCGCAATTGCGGGGGCGACACCGGAGGGGTGAAGAGGGGGGTGAAGAAAAGCGCGCCTTGCGTGCACCTCAGGGGCCCGCGAGGCGCCCCCTGGGGCCCAAATAGGGCACGCAGGGTGGACCTCCCTCGGCCCCCCATTCTAACGCGACCCCACTACGCAACGCCGCAGGTGCGCCCCGTGCTGCCCCGCCCGCCTGCACCAGCGCCGCCTGCTGTGGTGGGGCCGCCGCCGCCCGGGGCATCACCTTGCGCGGGCGGCCGCCGCAGCTCGCGGGCGCGCGCGGCCCCAGTGGTGCGCGGGCGGCGGCGGCGCGCCGCGCCAGCCTCGGCGCGGAGGGCGGCGGCGGCCTCGGGGCAGACGAGGCCCTCGGCGGCCCTCTGCGGCCTTCGGCGGCCCCTCGGCGTCCCTCGGCTCTCGGCGACCGAGGCCCTCGGCGGCCATCGGCGGCAATTGGCGGCGCCGGGGCGCACGAGGATCGATGACGGCGACGACGACAACAACGACGAAGACGATGGCAACAACGGTGGCAACGACGGTGCCGACGGCGGCGGCGACGATAATAACGACGAAGACGGTGGCAACGAAGTCGATGGGAGGATGCTCGCGCACGGTCGCAGGAGCAGCAGCAGGGGCGCCGTTGCAAGCGGGGCCCTGGGGTATTTGAGTGTTTGGGCATCTAACGTCGCAGTCCAGGTGAGGAGTTGTTGCCGTCCCTTTGTTTTTCCCAACCATCATGTGGTGTCGGGTCCCCGTTTTGAAGAGAAACCCCTATGTTCTCACTCTTCCTCCCGCTCCTCCCTCTCCCTCCTCCCTCTCCCTCCTCCCTCCCTTGCCTCTGACCTCCGCATGTATCTGTTTCGGCACACCCCTCACACGCTTCGTGGCCCCATGAGGAGCTCCACCAATCCCCGGTGGCAAAGTTCGTATGGCGGCCCCGCCCCATGTCGCGCACCCGTCACACGCTTCGTGGCCCCATAGGGAGCTCCACCGAAGGCCCCAGTGGCAAAGTTCGCATGGCGGCCCCGCCCCATTTCGGAGCACTCCTCAGATGTTTCGTGGCCCCATAGGGAGCTCCACCGAAGGCCTCAGTGGCAAAGTTCGCATGGCGGCCTCTCCCCACTTTGGCGCACCTCTCACACGCTTCGTGGCCCCATGGGGAGCTCCACCGCAGGCCCCAGTGGGAGGGTTCGCATGGCGCCACCGAACTCATTTCGGCATACCCCTCAAACGTTTGGTGGCACCATGGTGAGCCACCGCAGACCGCAGTGGCAAAGTTCGCATGGCGCCACCGCTCCACTTCGGCGCACCCCTCACACGTTTCGTGGCCATATAGGGAGCTCCACCGCAGGCGCCAGTGGCAAAGTTCGCATGGAGGTTCCGCCCCATGTCGCGCACCCCTCACACGCTTTGTGGACCCCTAGGGAGCTCCACCGAAGGCCCCAGTGACAACGTTCCCCCGCCCATTTCGGCGCACCCTCACACGTTGCGTGGCCCCATGGGGAGCTCCACCGCAGGCCCCAGTGTCAAAGTTCGCATGGCGGCCCCGCCACATGTTGGCGCACCTCTCACACACATCGTGGCCCCATAGGGAGCTCCACCGCAGGCCCCAGTGGCAAAGTTCGCATGGCGGCCCCGCCCGATTCCGCTGCACCCCTCTCACGCTTCGTGTTCCCACAGGGAGTTTCACCGAGGGCCCCAGTTGTAAAGTTCGCATGGCGCCACGGGCCCATTTCGGCGCACCTTTCACACGTTTCGTGGACAGGGTGCTCTACCGAAGGCCCCAGTGGCAAAGTTCGCATGGCGGCCCCGCCACATGTTGGCGCACCTCTCACACGCATCGTGGCCCCATAGGGAGCTCTACCGCAGGCCCTAGTGGCAACGTTCGCATGGCGGCCCCGCCCCATGTTGGCGCACCCCTCACGCGTTTCGTGGGCCCACACGGGGCTCCACCGCAGGCCCCAGTGGGAGGGTTCGCACGGCGCCACCGAACTCATTTCGGCATACCCCTCAAACGTTTGGTGGCACCACGGAGCTCCACCGCAGGCCCCATTGGCAAAGTTCACATGGCGCCACCGCACTCATTCGGCACACCATTCACGCGTATCGTGGACCCACAGGGAGCTCCACCGAAGGCGGGGCTCAGAATTGCGGCATTCAAAAGTGCATAGTTTTGGGTCCTTCGTCAGGATAATTCGGGCTCGGTCGGCGAAGCGCCAGCGTGACTCAGGTCGGAGGTCGGATGTAGTTCTTTCTCAGCGGCATACTATGTTACCGCGCCGTGCCTGCTGCTTCCTTGCCCCGACCTGGGTGTAGAATTTAGGAGCCTCCAGGTTTTGGTGGGACGCACCCTCCAAGGGCCCACGAGAGGCCTCCCGAGAGTCCTTTGGCAGAGCTCTCTGGGGATCTGCACCGTCGGGACCTCCTAGGTCGGGGGCCCCCAAACGGTGTGGTGACTACACCGCGCGGTGAGTCGGTGGCGATTCGGGGTCATGACGGTCTTGGGACTCAGACCGTTCTCCGAGGACGTCTCAAGCGACTGGGGCCTCCTGGGTCCCAAGACAGCGCAGACCGCGCGGTTTGGGATTTCGAGGTCACCGCGTGGTCTGTCACCTCACGTTTTTGGGACCCCAAGCCAGGGCTCATTCGATCGATTTAAATTACAATTCGACCCGATTCGACTTCGGATTCCGATTTAGATTTCGTTGTCTCAATGGAGGCCTTACTAGCCTGCCGGTTTCCGCCGATTCGACTTCTCTCGACTTGGCTGCAGATTTCCGCCGATCCGATTCATTTCGATCGCCGATCCGACTTGTCGAATCCATTCTGGGCTCTCCTGCCCCCAAAAAGAGGGGGGAATGCGTCGAACTGCCGAGACGAGAGGGGGCGCGCCCGCGTGCCCGCAGATCGGCGCCGAGGACGCCGGGCTCCGCAGGGCACGCCTGCAGCTGGAGAGGCTCGCGAGCCTGGAGAGCTCCGGGGCCGAGGAGCCCTTCTGGGCCAGGCCTCGGAGGAGGAAAAAGGTACAGGTTGGAGACGCGCATCAAGAAGCCAACTGCTTTGCTCAATGCTTATCGTCAGGGTACCCTGGGTTTCTTCGCTCCGCGCGCTGCGCGGTGACTTCCCGCTGCTGCGTTCAGGGTGCTCTGCGTTCCCTCCCGTGTGCATCTCGTGCGCGGGTTTTCAGGGCTGGGTTTCTTGTGAGGGTTCCTGCGGCCTCGTCCGCATTGTACGCGTACCGCTACCATTCCCTCGTTGTCGCCTTGTTGGACCTCCTAGGAGGCCATCGTCGCCGCGACTGGATTCGCCTCGAAATCCTGGTCAGCACGCACCCCGGGGGAGTTCTTGAGAATATGAGTACCTTCGATCGACATTGTCACGGACAGAGTTGGCACGAAGACTGACATCATGCCGTGCTCATTCTGAACAGGACTCGGCGTCAGTGCCGCCGCGGTCGTCTATTTGAGACAGGAGACCCTTGCCCAACAGCAGCTGCTGTCGGTGTCGGACAATATTGCAGTTGGGCATCGTAATTACCCTCACAAAGTCTGGGGTTCGCTAGGGTCTGGCTCCCCCCTAAGACGAGTTCCGGGAGGGGCGTCAGAAGGGTTTTTGTTCGGAGAGTTCTGGGAGGGCTTCAGAAGGGTTGCGCTCGTTTCTCAGGAACCAGTCCCTAGCAAACCTTTCGATGTGGTATGCGTTCTGTTGCTTTCTTGTTGGTGAGCCCCTTTCGTGTTCCTTCGGACTTTAGTGTCGTCCTTTTGGATTTCATGGCTCGACTTGGGGAACCACGGTTTCGTTCATTATTTTTCGTTCTTTACCCGTAACGGTTTCGCCCCCTGCCGCCGGCCCCCCTTTCTTAGAATGGGACTTGCAGAGTTGTGTTGGGATGGTTGGACGTTGACGTGAAGCAATGTCGGGACTTCACGCGAGGGCCAGCATCTTATTGTACGGTTTGCACTGCAAACCTGAAGGACTGGCCTCGAGGACGCAACTATTGAGTAATTTACGATAGTTGATTGCCTCGGGGGCGCACATGTTGAATCATTTGCAAAGGTAGATGGCCTCGGGGAAGCGAATACTGAGCAATTTACAAGGGTTTATGGCCTCGAGGACGCGAATCTTGTGCAATTTACAAGGTTTTGCGGCCTCGGGGTGCAAGTCTTTGTGATTTATGAAAGTTGATGGCGTCGGGGACGCAAACATTGCATAACTTACTAGGGCTTATGGCCTCGGGGAGGCAAATATGGCATATTTTACGGAATTGCATGGTGTCGGGGACGCAAGCATGGCGAAATGTACAAGGGTTTATGGCCTCGGGGACGGGACACTCGTGTAATTTACTAGGGGTTATGGTTTCGTGGACGCGAATATGAGTAATTTACAAGGTTTATGGCCTCGGGGACGCGAATATGGTGTAACTTACTAGGGATCGTGGCCTCGGTGACGCGAATATCATATCATACCATATCATATCGTATCGTATCGTATCGTATCATATCGTATCATATCATATCAAATCATATCATATCATATCATACCATACCATACCATAATACATATATATATATATATATGTGTATATATATGCGTGTCCCACGCTCCCCCAGGAATTCTGAGAACCCTCCCAGGGCGTGGTAAAACAAATCCCGTTTGGGGCTCCCACCCCACTCGCGGACAGCAACAAGTAATTGTAAGAGTGGAAGCTGGAAATTGCAACTGGAACAGGGAGCTGCAATCTTCGCCCTCGCAGCCTGGTGGCCCCGCACGGGGACCAGCGGACTTCAGCAGCCCCTCTGGTACTCTCGTGAGTTGCCCGCGTGAGGCCGAGCGTGAGCGCCCCCGCCTCCAATGCGGCCTGCGCGCGCTGGCGGCCCGCGTAAGCCACCGCGTATGCTTGCTGTGTCTTCGTGCGCCAGACCCGTTCCTGATCGTCGCACCCCTTCTGTTCCGTACCCATGTCGGGGGTCCGAGTTCGTTCCCCCAAGGCCGGAGATGGAGTTCGACGAACGCGGCCTGCCGCCGGTCGGCACCGTGCTGCTGGCGCACCCAGCGGCCTACTTCGCCGGCGAGGGCGGCCCCGAGCAGCTGCCCGCCGCCCTCGCGCGCACCGTGCGCAGGCCAGGGCTGCTGCCAGGGCCGCGCGCGGAGAAGCGCAAGGCGCTCAACCACAATTACGCCAGTGTCGGTTCCTGGAGGTGTTCTCGCCTCGGGATGCTCTCCAGCGGTCGGTTGCGCCTCGCCGAGGGCGTTCTGGGGGTGCCCGGATCGTCCCGAAGTGCCGCCGGAGAGCTGAGTTACGACCTGAGAAAAGGACTTCCAACGTCTCGACCCGGGTTCTCAGGGGCAACGATAGGGGGGGATCGGCTCAGAGGGGATGCATGGACCCCAAATCGTTGTAGTCCACCCCGCTATCGGGGGCATATCGCCGATCAATCGGCGATGTATCGCCGATTCCAGGTCGATGTTTCTCCCCCTGTGCCAGTTTCCCCCGATCGTTGCTCCTGACAGGAGCGCAGCCATATGCCAGTGGTCCTCATTCGGGGAAGCGTACGACTCGAGCTTGCCAGAACTCGGGTGCGCCGACGATGTTTGGCGGGCCTGTCCTTGATTTTGACGGTACTGTTGTCGTGGAATGTCTGCGGCGGGAACTTCTGTCAAGTTCCAGACCGGGTCTCGCCATGCTCTTGACAGCGCAGTCAGGCCAACCCGAGTCCCACGAGCCCGAGTCTTACCTCGCCCCGACTCCTCACTGGGCGGCACCCGCAGCAGGGCACCTCGGGGCTGCTGGTGTGCAACCTGTGGACGGGGCAGCTCCTGGGCGACCTGCAGTGCACCGATTTCATGTCGCGGCCGCTGCACCTCGGCGGCCCGCCCGAGCGGGTCGACCCGAAGCGGTTCCTGCAGACCATGACTATGCTCCACCCCTACCCCGACATGCCGGGCGCGCGGCAGATCACGTCCGACGGGCTCGCCGTCAGCCACAGCTTTGCGGAGGCGTGCAGGTGGATCAATGAGGGCCCAGGCTCGTCCCTGCGCTTCCGCTTCTTCGCCAGCGACGTGCATTGGCCACCGGAGGAGGAGTCGAGGGAAGAACACTGGGACCATGACCAATCCTGCCGAACGCCGATTTTGGTCATGGTCCATGGCGGGCGTCGCCGATTCGCGAGGATGATCCACGACATGAGGCGGACTGGTCATGGCCCCCGTTCTCTTCCCCTTCAAGGAGGGCGAGATGTCGCCGCGGGCCGAGGTCTGGCTGCCCGTGCGGTGCAGCCGTGACCTGCTCCTGCGGGAGCCCGACTCCGCTTTCGAGGATCCGTCTCGTCTGACCGATCCCCGTCCCCACTGGGCCACGGTGTCTCGGCCACACCATCCCACCACCCCAATCGGTGATTAGGCCCCTCGAGGTTCCGAGGGGAACCGGCTCTGTCCCCATCTGGGGGATAGTAAATCGGCCAGTGGGGCCCAGGCAATCGGTTCGTGGAGACAGGGGCCGGTTGGAACAATGCTCAGAGGAGCCCGTGTGGGCGCAGCTGGCCGAGCGCGCCGGCGGGGAGGCGGCAGAAGCCGCGCGGCGGCACTTGCTGCTCGCCAGGGGAGAGGGCTGAGGCCTGGCCCAGCTGCGGCCGCGCGCCCGCCCGGCGGGCAGACGGCGGCCGCGCGCCCACCAGGGGAGGGCTCGTGACGGCGGCCGCGACGACGTCGCAGTCGTGGCCGTCGTCTTGGCAGTTCGTCGCCGTCGCCGTCGTCGCCGTCGCCGTCGTCGTCGTCGTCGTCGTGTGTCGTCTGTCGTCTGTCGTCTGTCGTGTGTCGTCTGTCGTCTGTCGTCTGTCGTGTGTCGTCTGTCGTAGTCCGCCGTCGTCGTCGTCGTCGTCGTCCTCGTCCTCGTCCTCGTCCTCGTCCTCGTCCGCGTCCTCGTCCTCGTCCTCGTCCTCGTCCTCGTCCTCGTCCTCGTCCTCGTCCTCGTCTTCCTCGTCCTAGATCTCGTCCTCGTCCTCGTCGTTCGTCGCCTGTCGTCCCCTGAAACTAATTACTGCTCCCAGGGGGGAGTGGCTGAGCGAACGGCGGCCGCGCGCCCCCGCAGGGTGGGGGCTAGGCGAGCGGCGGGCAGACGGCGGCCCCGGTCGCGCCAACTGCGAGTCGGACGGGAAAAGTCGAACTGATCCAGGCGTGCTGCGCGCAGCGTGCAGTGCAGCCAGGGGTCATACCCAGACCACACGATGGCACCGCGGCGCCTTTCGTCGTCGTCGATTTGTTATGACGTCGTCGCCGCATTCCTCCTACTCGTCCTCCTCCCAGGCGATTGCAAACATGGATCAAGGGGACGTGGATTAGCGACGGGTCCCGTTTCCATCGGGGAAATCTCGGATTTTCTCCGCCGAACCAGGCAGCACCGGCTGCATTCTGGGGAGGGCAACTCCCACGATGCATGAATTTGGCGACCACGCGCCAAATCCATGGATCGCTAATCCATGTTTGCGCGCCCCCGATCCTCCTGCTCCTCCTCCTCCTCCTCCTTCTGCTCCTCCTCCTACTTGTCCTCCTTGGCTTCCGCATCCTTCTCATTCTCCTTCCTCTTGCAAGCGGCAAGGGGTGCGCGCCCCCCTCCAACTCCTTGCGCCCTATGTCCTCTTACTTGGAAGTATTGCCTGCATGCCCAACCCTTTTCAGTAGGTTCTGGTACTAGCACTGCAAGCTGTACGGCATCGAGCGCAGGCACCATCACCTGTAGGGGACTAGCAAAAGGGCGCCAGCCAGGGGGCACCACATGGCCCCAACCAAAAGGCACCAGCCATGGGACACCAGCCAACGGGTGCCACAACGGACGACGGGGCACCAACCAGCACCTGCCGTAGGGCACCAACCATTGGGGGGCCAAACCAAAAGGGCACCATCGCCCACCCACGGTCGACCGCGACACATGCTTTGCGTCGGCGGCTAGGCCGAGTAACTGCGTTGGCGGAAGAGCTAACTAAACGGGGGCACAGTTGTAGCGAATTGTGCCACAATGCAAGGAAAATGGGACAGGACAGTGGAAGCGGCCGAACGTGGGGGGAAGAGCGGTGGCCGCTCAGGGAGACGGGTCACGCCGGGAGCGTGTGGTGCGGCCAGCCGCGCCGGCGGAGTCCGCGGCGGCTGTTGCACCAGGGGGCAAGCGGCGGCGGGGCGCAGTGCGGGCACCAGAACAAGCCCGGTGGGACAACGGTGCGGTGCGATCAGTGCTGAGCCAACAGTTGGTGGCGTCCCAGCAAAATACTGGGCCGCTGAGGCGGCGGGCGGCAAGACCAAACCAGGGGCGCCATCGCGGCGGCTGCGAGCAACCCGTCAGCGCCATGGGAAACCAGCCGGTGGCTGGTTTCCGTTGTCGTGGGCAGTCCCATGTAGGGGGAGTCGCGAGAAGAGATGCACGGGGTCGTAAATCAGTGAACCAAGAGGGTTGGTTTACCTCCTTCAGCTGGGGTCGGGGGGCTGCCGCAGGGGGCGCTTGCTGCCTTGTGGTCCAGGAGCGGGTTGGGGGCGGGTTGCGGCGGCGGCATGGGGCGCTTCCGCTCGGGCGGGTTGTCGGGGTTGATTTGAGACCCGTCCCGGGAGTCCCGGGCCAGGATTTCTTGGACGTCGTTCGGGCGGGCGTTCCAGAGGTCGACCAGGCAGCGCTCGCAGTGCCAAGTCGCGTCCCACTGGTGGGCGCGAGGTCAGTGTCGCCGGGGCGGTAGATGAACCTGTTTTTGGGGGTGGTCCCGCGCTGCCACTCGTGGACTGGGGCGGAGTTGGGGCAGTGATCACATGTTGCTGCTCCTCCAGCCGTCTGTGTTGGCGTTCCCCCCAAACCCGTCGTCCCTGGCGCGTCGGGAAGGCGATCGTGGCGTTCGTGTCTTGCGTGTCTTGCTGGGGCAGAAGCAAGAGCGGTGCCTGGGCGCCAGGAGGTGGATGTGTGGAATGCATCCGCGGGGATGTGCTGTTGCGGCTTGAGGTCTTGAAGAAAGCGGATAACTTCTGCTCACCTGGTATGTGGTGCCACACGACTTCTTGATGTTTTGGCTTACGCCGCACCGCCGACCCCTTGGGACTCTTGGTAAGTCTCTCGGGGGCCTCCTGGCAGCACTTTGAGGCCTTATGGGGGCCGTTTTGGGGCCGCTTTTGGGCCTCTGGTGGGCCTCTTGGAGCCTCTTGGGTGCTTCTTGGGGGCTTCTTGGGGCCTCCTGGAGGCTTCTTGGGGCCGAGGGCTTGCAATTTCCGTTCGGGTTCCCTGCCTGGGCCCCCTCCTGGAGCCGTCTTGGGCACCTCTTGGGCCGGTTTGGGGCCCTCTTGGTCCGTTTTGGGGACCTCTTGGGCCGTCTTGGGGCTATCTTTGGCCGTCTTGGGGCCGTCTCGGGGGCCTCTTGGGCCGTCTTGGGGCTGTCTTCGGGGCCTTTTGGGCCGTCTTGGAACGTCGGGAAGCCGAGAAGGCGAAAAGGCAAAGAACACAGAAAAACATCAGGGAAAATCAACAATTTTAGCCTCTCGGGGCCCTCTTGGGGGGCTTGTTTGGGACCTCTGGGGCCGTCTTGGAGGCCTCTTGGCCCGTCTTGGGGCCATCTTGGGCGTCTTGGAGCGCTCGTTTAGCGTCCCGGGGCCCTCGTGGGCCGTCTTGGAACCCTCTTGGGGCCTTCTTGGCCCATCTTTAAGCCCTGTTGGGCCCGGAAGAGCCCGTGGCGCGCTCGTCGCCCCCCCCCCCCCCCCTCCTCCTCCAAATCGACCGGACCGGGCTCCAGGGGGAGGGGTTTGGGGAGGGGGGAGCATCTCACACGCCGATGATCCCCAAGGGGTCGGCGGATTGGTCCTCCAACGACTGGCGCAGTGCCACCGGCAGTCGGCTCCTTGCTCGTAGAATTCCAGGCGGCAGGCTGTTAGGATCTGGCGGACTTCGGCGTTTACCCAGGCACCTCCCTCGGACTTGCGGGGGTCGAAGGAGCCGCGCTTGCATTGTTCGCAAAAGACGTTGGGGGCCTGGTCGGTTGCGTGGAAGCGGCTGTCGCCCATTTGCAGAGTGGCTGTTCGTAGCGCGGCGCCGGGCAGGGCTCGGGTTGGCCCCTCGGGCTGCCGGATATCATGCCCCCCGCGTTCTGGACTAGCGTCGCCGTGGGCGCCTCGGGCAGGGGCCCGACGCCATGGCCGATGAGTTCTGAGTTCGGACGCAGACTGCACATCGATGGCAGCTGAACGCGGACAGGTCGGCGGAATAGTGGCGAGGAGATTGCGGACAGTTGGTGCGTCTGCCAATGGCAGTCCAGGGGGAGTTGGCCATTCCAGTGCGAGGCCTGTATGGGGCCCCTTGTCATGACATATCGGCAGTGGTCCGCGACGGTAACGATGCGAGAGCAGGCTTTGATGAAGCTCTCGATGTCGCCGTGGAACTCGCGGAAGTCCAGCTCGGCGAGGTGGCGCGCCTTTCCGAAGCAGCCCTTGCTGGGCGCGCGGGTTCTTTTCAAGGGCGCGCGCAAGCCAGGGGCGGCTTCCAGGATGTCTCCGATGTGCTCCGGGCAACCGCAAGGTGCCATTGTGGGCTTGGGTTCGCTGATCATCGTGAGCATCAGGACTAGTGCGCTGTTGACCCAAGATTGGTCGATGGATGCTCCGCTTGTGTCTCGCAGCTGCCCGCCCATAGCGGCGGCGTTGCGGTTGGGGGACTGGGCTAGCGCGTGCGGGCGGGCATGGGGGGTGGGGGGTGTCTCTGATGGCGGGAACACTCGCGCGTGGTTTGGCCCCGGGCGGTGAGGGGTGCCTGCGGGTTCCGTGGGGCGCGCGGTCCGCTGTCTTCCTCCAGCGAGACTGCCCTGTGCGGATTTGGGCAAGGGTGCTAGCCTGTTCTCGGGCATGCGCAGGTCGTGGTTGCTGGCGGATCGCAGGCCCGCGACCTGGAGAGCAGGCGCGCCCGCGTGGCAGCGCATGCGTAGGTCAAGAAGGCGCCCGTCGTGGCTGACCATATTGCGGCATTGTTCGAAGAGATCCTCTGGCGCGCCCCCCGGGCCTTGCAGACGAGGACGCAGGCTGAAGACGCAGTGGGGGGCGGGGGCGAGGGCCGGGTCGCGCGTGGGGGCGGTGACTGTAGTCAGTAACTCGTGGGCCAGCTTGTCCCGGCAGCGGCCGCGCGGTAGCCTGCTGTTGCATGGGGTCTGGAAGCCAAGGGCGCCTTCGCTCAGTCTTCTTCTGGGCGTCGCGCCTTCGGCGCGCTTGTCGCGCGCGGCGGCGATCCTCGCCTGCCCCTGGATTGGGGCATCTTGCCCGCTGGGGGCCTTGAGGATTCTGTCGAGGGAGAAGCCTGGGGCCTCAGTCAGCTTGTGCCTGGTGCCCAATAGGTTAAGTAATTGGGTTCATAGATTGGCTTCGGTAGCCCAGTCCGCCGGGGAGTGCATCTGGGATTCTGCGGCTGCGGAGGCCACGCGGCCGTTCGTACGCACTGCGTTCCTTTCTTGGGCGCGGGCGAAAGCGACGCTGATCCTGCGGGGGTCGCCGTTGAAGTCCCGTTGGCCGAAAGGGTTGAAACGGGCGGTGCGCTAGATGATTAGGTTCGCCTCGCCGCCTGGGCCGCCGTGGTTCGCGGCGACGCCGACGAGCTC